TGCCTCCTCTGGCTTTTTCACCTCTCCCCTATTATCCGCACCGGCATTTGCAACACATCCCAATCACTTGGGATCACCACTTTTGCTCCGATGTCAGTGGCCACGTTGGAGGGATGCCCTGCAGTGGATGTCCCACCAGGACAGCTCTGTCACTCTGCTCCTTGCCTCTACCTTCTTTCCTTGCCAAAGCAGCACTACAGACTCACAATCCTATAGCCTACAAATCCCTTTGGGAGCCTGTGCTCCCACTACCCTTCTAGCTGCTCACATGGTTTCACTGGCTTCTTCAGACAAACAAGAAACTTCAGCAACTGCAGCCAAGGACTCTCCTACCCAACACATCTGCTCCTCTGCCTTTTTTCCAGCAGCTCGTGGGAAGATTTCCCAACTCCACGTGCACAGCAATTCCTACTGGCCTCTTTCTCTCCCACAGTTCTTTTACTTCCTTGCCTGACTACCCCTGCCCTAAGTCCTTCTCTGCCTTCTGCCTCACTCACAGCTACAAGCTGATTCCCCTCTCCTTGGATCCAGGGACTCCCCTCAACAACAATCAAATGCCAGCTATGTCTGTGACTTCAAATTCCCCACGAATCCTGCCCTGGCTCTTCCCACTCCCCCAGGAGTCTCTAATGAGAGCGTGACAATATACCGCCTGCCAGGATTCATTCTAGCCATCTGCTATCCATCGAGGTACTTTTACTGCACCTCTGGCTGTGCCATCTCAGCATCAGAGACAGCGTGATGGGGGGGTGCTGAGAACTTAAACAAAGGCAAGAGGTAATGATTAGAGACTCTTGATTTGTCACAAGCCATCAGAGACTTCTCTAACAGGGCTGATTTATAGAGCTGATTTCAAATGGAACACGAACAAGTACAGAGCAATGTGAAAACACTTGCGAAGGCCAAGCAAGCTATAAACATTTGCAAGGCGCATGCTTGCCTTAGGTTTCTTTTTATCTCTTTAAGAGCCTATGCCCCATGGTGCCTTTTATTGTCGCTGCACATGGAAGCAAGCCCAAAAGATCACTCTCAGAGTATCCCACAGAAACAAATCCTGTTTCAATCCTCTGTTGTAACAGGAAGTGGGGTGATTTTTCTCTTCTGTTTATTGTTACTTGCTGCATCAATCAGTGCTTCGCTGAAGACTGTGAGGGGTCTTTTTTGTTGCTGTTCAGTTTTAGAAGGAACAGTTGTGCTGAATCTTACAGATTAAAACAACTTAAGTTTCTCTCTCCTGTGTCTCTGAACTACAGTATGTGGCACTGGCTGTTCACTGCTTTAAAAGGACTACAGTTGCTTCATACCTGCTTAGAAACACAAGTGCTTGACAACCACACCTGCACTCTTGCAGTGAACCTGCAAAACTACTACAGCTCAGAGGTTCTGATGGTTTTTACCTTGTTCCAAAGGGATGAAGGCAGTGTTGGAGGGGAGAGACACACACACACACACACAGGCACACACACAACTGCTTTGCACAACTTCAAAGCCAGGGATACTCACAGCTTGCTCAGGTTTTCTAGGCCTGTAAAGGCTCCGTTGGTATCTTCTATTGTGCCTGAGATGTCATTGTGGTCCAGTTCCCTGGGGAGAGGACAAGAGAGAGCTCATCATCAGTGTCTCAGTCCTAGGCTCATCAGTTAAAACAAATGGAAGAAAGATTGAGAATGCTACAACAAAGAGCTTCCCATTTTCTCCTAACAGTTACCAGAAAAAGCAGAGTCCTGAAGCAAAGCAGCACTTAACCACTTGTCCTGCACTGACCCATGCTGAGATGGTGCATTCCAAAGAGAGCCCTGGCATTTTCCTAGCTGAAACCCTCTGTTTCCGAGACAGCAGCAGTATCAGGCAGCTACTTTTTAACAAATAGAGTTCAGTCCTTTTCTAATTCTGTGCACTCAAACAAAAGGAGGGGAAAAAACATGAAGTCCCAAAACTAAACTGAATGAACAGCTCTATTTAAATGTTACTGTCATGAACTAAGATAATTTTGGCTATTCCAATGTACACATGCATTTGTCTATAGAGGAAGGTGATTTGATGCGTTTTCTATATGAAGCTGCATTTTTTTCTGGCAATGAACTTGAAAGCTCAACAAGGGAAAATACCATCATCCCCCCAGTCTAACTCTCTGTATAGCCGCTTTAAACAAAAAGAGTAAGAATTCCTTTTTCAGAATTAGCTTCTTTTGGCTTTCAAATTGACCATCAATTACATGAGTCAAAGAGGTCTGAAGAAAAACAAGCACCCAGAACAAACACAGAGATCCACAAAAGCTGTTTAAACAGTCTGTTTAAAAATCCTTCCCTCCCAGCTTTAATTCCAGCAAGCAATGAACACCCAGCAACACAGACAGAAATTCATCATTTCTAGTGCTAAGTACAAAGAAAGAGAGAAAAAATAAATAGGCTTTGTTGGTTTTGTTACATCACTGGATTTAAAACCCAGCAAAACCCCACAATAAAAGTAAACTTCACCGCCCAGATAACCCCCGTGAACCTTCAGCTACCCCTTTTGCACCTTTTGAAGTTTATTATCAGAACATTTCCAGTTTAAAAAGTGTAAGATCAAGAATGAAGAAACAACCCCCCTGCATTTTGCAGGATGCCAGACATGGGCATCACAGTGCAGCTTCTGGGCTGTGCAGCACCAATACACAGTAACCCCCAAGAGAATAGAAATGGAAGAACTCCCCCAGTTTCAGTGCTGGCAGAGATGGGGCTCAGACTCCTGCTCTGGGTACCTGAGCTGGCCGCAGGCTCTGCTTGTTTCCCAGCTTCGGTGTGAGAACTGAAGATGTGAAAAGAGATGGCCAAAAGCCATGATTCCTGCATCTCAGCTGGCTTCAGTGTGAGACCTGACTCTCATGTCCCTGGGGAACCCTGGCCTCGTTGTGGATGTCAGGGTGATCTGTGGGTTTGCCTGTGCCAAAGGAATGGATAAGAACTCAACATCCCCCACGGGGTGTGGGCGCACATAATGCTGTGGTGGCCTAAGAGACTAGTCCAGGAGAGACTCTTTGATGTGCTGATACTTTCAGCACCATCTGAGTGGGGCAGGAGCAAACCCATCCTCCTGGAGCTAAGTTTCTGCATTTCCCTTGTGGTTGTCAAGCCAATGACCGTTGTGCTGTTTGTTTTTCAGGGGCAAATCCCTTCTCAGACTTTTCTCCTCTTCAGTTCCACCACGGGCTACTGGTCTTTGGACCAACAAACCCTTTCCCATGGCAGAAACAGACAAGTGGGAACAGGCTGTAGAAGCTCTCTGACATGCACTTTTATTAATTGACTGCCACACATTGTGTTTTCTTGAGAAAGGAGAAGAAAATGGTATTGCTTGTTCATCCAGAGGCAACTCAAAGGTTTAGTGTTCGAAAGGAGGAATAAAAACCTTTTTAACAAATGAGTGAAAATAGAGAGAAGAGAAAAAAAAAAAAAGAGTGGGGTATTTTGGCCTGGTTCTCTTTGTATTCAAACTCCTCTCCCAGCCCCTGTTGCCAATTTCCTATTCTTTCTGGCTGGCTGAGCTTGAATGCTCGCAGCCTTGTTAATCATTGTGCTGCGAGGTCTCTGGGCCTGACCTCTATTTGAATAGCTCCACATTTCAGCAGTTTCACACCCACCAAAGGCTCCCCAACAATAGCCCATAATTAAAGCATGCTCGGGTCTTTTTCACCAGGTGCAGGACCCAATAGGCCTTTCTCTTTATTAAATTAGAGCTCGCTCACACACTCCCTCCTCTCCGCCTCCCCCCTCTGCCCTAGACATGAAAGAGGCTCCACATTCACTGCAGAGCAAAGAGAACTACCAGCTCCCCTTCTCCTCCATTTTTCTTTGGAAACCTTTAGTTCCGGTCTTGACAGCTGCCTCAGAGAGGTCCCTTTCTGAATGCCCAGTGCCTGAAAGGCTTTGGCTTCAGTTTAAGAAAAGGGGGGTGGGTGGAAAAAGCAAACAAAACCCAAACTCACTTTCCAGTCACTTCCTTCACTGTGAACTTCAATAAAGGAAAGAGTAAGATGCAAAATGTACTGCAAAGAGAGGAGACCTCTCTGTTCCCATTTCCTTTTAATCACCCAGGCCACAATGGGCTTCTGAAGAGGAATAAAAGTATTGGGGTTTTCTTCTCTTTTGAAGAAAGAATTGAATGAGGCTGAACTCAACCAGCCTGGGAGCATGGACAGTGCTGTAACACAAACTGTGAGAACTCTGTGGTGTGCCAGATGAAGGTGCTGAGCCCGCAGGCTCTGGAGGAGAGCAGCCATCAGCTCAGCAGCTACAAAGAAGGGGGAATGAGGCAACAGAGCTGCAGGAATGGACAATTATTAGAACTGGATTCCCCATCTTCTGATGCTTCTAAGGCAAGCCCAGATGTCCTTCAACCTACTGCTGGGTTTAACAGTGCATAATAGTACAGTTCTACAGCTGCCCTCCCGAAGGAGGTGAGACCAATCTGCCTCTACCAGCCCCAGTATCTTAGAAGCTGGTATCCAGACTAGCAAGCTCACTTCCAGTGCCACATTTCCATGCATTATGTGTGCCAGTGACTTTAAAAGTCTCTAGTCAATGGCCACAGCAACCACTGGATGGATTATTTTGCAATTCAGTGTTAGGGCACATGAAACTTTTCTCTTGATACCATGACAACTTCTTTGTTGTTCAGGGGTTACCATGAAAATCGTGTCCACAGAACATTTCATGACCCAAGTGAGCCCAATTCTGCACTAAAGAGAAAGATAGAAAGATTACTCTCATGGTAACTGCAGCAGCTTCTTGCTCCCTTGGCTGGACACAAGACTGCACTGTCAGTGGTAGGAATCGTTCCTACTCCTCCTGAGCACAGAATGACCCAACAGAAATGGTCCATTTCTACGAATTTCAATTAAATAGCAAGAGAAATGCCACTATCAGCTGAAGGACTGAAACCTCAGGGGTTTTTGCTCAGATGGGCTAGATTCTGTCCTAAGTTCCTATCGCTTTATTCCAGAGCCCTCTGAAAGCACGCTGTAGCACTGAGCAGTCCACCTGCAATCCTGACTAATCTTCATTAAAAAATACAAGTTCATTGAAGTTGAATATTGGGGTAAACACAACAGAGCAGTGTGTAGTGGACTTCGATACTGAGAACACAGGTACCCAAAGCAACTGCACAGCAGAACACGAACTGTGGAGGGAAGGTATGTGTTAGCTGACAGAGCAACTTACAGGACACGTAGGTTTTTGAGTCCCTTGAAAGCACCTTCTGCAATGTGATTGATGGAATTGTGGCTGAGACGTAGTACGTGCAGTCCCCCAAGGTCTGCCAAGCTTCCCTCATCCAGCCTGGTTAGGTTGTTGTAAGAGAGTATTCTGAGGGGGGAAAAAACAGTGGTCCTTGTCAATCCAACCAGTATTTTCCAAACTCCTCTGCACCAAGCAAAGCCCACCTCCCACAACCAGGAGACAACGTGTACTGGGTGGATACGTAACAGTTTGATTAGGAAGTAAGGCTTCAGTCTGCAAGTATTCCCACAAGATATCCATGGGGCAGCCTGGGTAAGGGAGGAGGAGGCATTTGGTACCCAGCTATAGGGAAGTCTTCTATACAGGCAAGAGGGGCTCCTGCAGCAGTGAGTGAGAGCAATAGTCTAATCCACATGCTGTCAGGTATGGCAGGGACAACCTACTATTATGGCCAGGTTAGGGCCTGGGAGCACCAGCCCTTCTGGGACCCCAGATGTACAGGTAACACTCAGACATCAGTCCTGGTTGTGTTCAATCCTCACTCCCATCTGGACTCCCTCTGAAGCTTAGAGGAAGAAGCTTCCCCACGCCCTGCAAGGTGCAAAGTGACGTCTAACAGATGGATTCTGAAGCTCACACGGGCTCTTGGCAGGGCCCAAGACTTCTGTGTTCAGGAGGTGTCTTGTCATTCTGCATTTGTGAGCAGCAAAGCCCCAGGCGCCTGGGTGTGGGTGTCTCTGCAGCCTGCTCCACCCCAGTCAAGAACCAAAAGCATTTCACCACAAGGCAATTGAATGCTTCCTTTCATGCGCAGGAAAGAGGCACCACTTGTAAACCAGCCTCCTTCCCTCCTGCTCCCCATTGTCAAGGAGTGTACGGTCTGCTTGAAATCATCTTCACTTACAAGTGACTAATACTGGAGGGTTGGTTTTGTCCCATCCCTTCCCCTTGTCTGTATTATCTCTGGGTTTGGAGATATTTAAGTGTTACTCCTGTTGCAGTTTGGAAGCTGGTGGGAAGAAAGCTGGATATTCTTCCTGATCTCTGGATGTCACTGCAGCTGGGTAAGCTGTGCAGGGCTGCTGGCAGGTGAGTGTGACCAGCAACAGCCCCAGCTTTAAGTTGCCTGCATACTGAAGGTATAAAAAGTGGCATTCAATTACCTGCCACTACTCACATTTTCTCAAGCTTCTCTCTTTACAAAGGGCAGTTGCATTGGATTTTCAAAATACCTTAGTCACCTGAGAGGACAAATCACTTCAAAAGATGTGAGGGTTTGGGCTGCTAAGCTTTTCACAAAGTGGAGTTATGCAGCTTTGAACAGCCCTGAAATCCTTCATTGTACAGGCAATAAGAAAAAAACCTCAACTGAATTCCAAACCTTCAGATTCCTCTTCTAGTACCACAGATTAATGAGGCTGCTTAAAAATGTGTCTATGGCTGGTGTGAAAATCACTGCAAAGCCAGAACCTAAGTCAAAACAGACATACTCAGAGCACTGAGAGTGTCATTTACCTGGGAAATGAGCTGTCTTTTAGCTGTGCAAGTGAGCAGAGGGCAAGCTTTAGAATCATCACTGATTAATGAACTTGCAGAAGCTATGGGACAAATACTTTCATTCCTGAAGAAGCTGTAGTGTTAGTTATAAGGAACTGGCATCCAGTCAAAATTACATCCTCACCTGCGATTAAACAATTCTGCTTAAATAAAAAAGTGTTCAAGAGTAACCCTAAACCTGGCTGAGAAAAAAACAGTTCCTTTTGATTCTACACAGAAGAGCTCCTGCCACAACCAGTAAAGGCACGTTCCCCTCTGTTTGTTCCAATGGCTCCTCAAGACAGGTGGATGGACAGCAGCAGCATTTAGAGGACTCTCTCAATGACTGCAACCAGATGGAAGGTCTCAGGAGCTAATGCACCTGGCAGTGGCTTCCTTCAACATGGAAGGGCTCTGTTTCCTGCCATGGGACAGGCCAGTTTGCAAACCAGCATGTTTCCCTCATCAGCAGTTTGGATTATCTGGGTTGAGAGAAGCAAGTACTGCTTCTCCTACCTTGTCATCTCTGTACCAGTGAGAAATGGGAATGTTTGCCTTCACAGCCCTTTTGGCCTGGCGAGGAAGCAGGATGGCAGCACACAGAGCAGCATGCCAAAACTGAGATATACAGGAGTTCACCTTTTCTAAAATAGAAACCTGTTGTGCTGGGGCTCCTGCTGCCAGCCAGTTCTGGACCAGGCACATCTAACACATTTCATCCCCATTGACCAAACTGTAAGTATAAAGTGAAAAGAAAGACCCAGCAGCCAAGACATCATTTACCTCTGATGAAATCCTATGCTCCCACTGTGGATTTTTCCATGATGTTGATGCCCTAGCACCTGACTGGTGAATACAATCAGCCTTTTATCATGCCCACAGCAAGCAAAACCTCTCTTTCCTTCTTAGCTTTTACATCAGACCAAAGCCTTGGGGTCACATTTTCTCCTAGCAACTGAAGGAGAGACAACTCATCCTTCAGATGATCACCTCCTTCCTTAGCACAGATAAGCAGGGGTCTGGCCACCTCTGTTTGAACTTTGAAATTCATTCCTGTACAACCACAGAGACAGTGTTTTCCGGTAACTGAAACTCAGTAGCTTTAGCAACAGTGGAGGTGAGCAAGGATCTTTTAATAAGGAACAAAATGTACACATTCAAAGAAGTGAACAGAGGCAACTTAGATCTATCTAGTCCTTCCTTTCCTCACCCTTCAATTCCAGAGCAGACCTCTCCTACAAGTACTCTGTGGCTGTGTGAGTTTCAGTTAGGAGTATCTGATGGCTCCCTGCAGCAGCTTTACCCTAAAGGCAACACCTGCAAGAGCTTGTACTATTTTGCAGAGATCTGTGCTAACACCCACCTAATCGCCTTTCAAATCTCAGCCCATGTCGTCTCTGGCCTCACACTCCAGCACAATCCTGTCTGTCAGGCTGAGCGTGCCCCAGTGCCTCCTACCACCTCACACCACCAGGCATTTTCCACATCTACCCCCCATCCTGCACCAGGGCAAGCGAGTCCTGCACTGGCTTCCCGCAGTTACTGCAGAGGATGGCCTCTAAGCCAGGACAGCTCACCATCAGCACTACTTGTTGGCAAGGGATCACAACCCATACCTGACAAATACAGGACTCAGCAAGACAGTCAACCTCTAAACCTTGAGGGTTTGCAAACAGTGTCAGATAGAAGAGACAAGCATGGTGCTCCCTAAACAGTTCTGACTTTAGCTCTGCAAGATGCAGATGGAGCTTACCCATCCAGCTGAAATAAAGCTTCAACACAGGCACCAGATAGCAGGTCTCAGAGCAGAAAGCTCCCAGAACCATGCTACTGACACAGTAGAGTCATCTGAATTTGGTATTCCAGGGATCCAACTGCTAGTGCCTTACAAAGAAAGATTCCCCCACCCCTTTTTGATGCTTCAGATTCAAGCAGACCACAGGCAGAGCATGGTGCTGATTCTCATCGGCTGCCTTTTAAGAGTCCTCCACTGACACTTCCTTAACCTAGTAAAACATCACTTGAGGATCTGCATGTGAAAGAACCGTTCTCCCTTGTCTACAGCCCTGTGCCAAGCAAAGGAGCCCTTTAGGCACAGGCAGTTTCACAGCAATTTGGAAAATTAGGCAATTAAACAAGCACATATGTATTTAACTAAAGGGAAAAGAAATATTTTCTTGTGCCCCAAAAAATCATCTGCTGGGCTAACAAATTAATTCTACAGCTTCTAAACTTAAAGGAATGACATGTGCCATGTCCACCTGTCTCTGAATCCACATCCCAAAAGACTAGGGACTCACAGCTGGGTAGGCAGATACTGGCCTTCAGCCTGAGTCCAGAACGAGGCCCCTGAAAGCAGGAAGCTGTTTTATTGCACTGCTTTTTGGTGGATAGGACAACCCCAACAATGTTTAACACGAGATTTCCGAGCACCAAGCAGAATGAATTACAGTCCAGCTAACCACATGTGTCAAGTTCTCCTAAGAAAAAAGTGAATCTTTCCACAGGCCCACCAAGGGGATGACAGCTACTTCTGTAAATACTGCAAGCATCCATGTGTGCCTCTTCAAAAAGGCATTAAGCAGTGCCACAGACCCAAAAGACACCCTTGCTGTGCTGTCCTCAGCAGTAAGGCTTTCTTTCATTTATCAAAGAGAGTGTATTCACAGCTGGAAATCTCAGGAGAGCAAAGTCAATGTATTTACTTTTCAACAACTGAGCCTTACAGGAAGGGTAAAGTGTAAACAGGAGAAACAAGAAGAACTGCCTTTAAAGGGCCAAATCTCTGCTGGTTAAAACCATGTTGCTCTTTGTAAATACAGAGGATAAAGCAAAGCTTCCTTCAGGCTGTACAGTCATTATATGGCAGGCTGTGCATGTCTTGTAACTAGCTAGTTAGAAAGTGTTGGCAAGCCGCAGATCACAAGCTCTCCAGGTCTTTTGGCACTGTACACTTTTAGTGGGTTCTAGTCTTTGTTTCTGGTGCAAAGCTATTTTAATCAAGGTGCTCTGAAGGTCACAGCATCATGAATAACAAGGGCATCACTTAACAGGCTGCAGTTCCTGCATTTCTGCAGGTTGACACTGTGGGGGCTGTAAGCCATATGACTGGGAGAAACCCTCTTCCCCTTTCCTACCAACGTTACATTAACATCAAACTCCGCACAACCAACCACACTAGACAGCAACTTACAGCTCATGCAGCTTCTGACAGAAGCTCCAGCCATCGGGATTGATGCGGGATATGGAGTTGTTACTGAGGTGAAGCTGGTGCAGAGATGAAAGGCCATAGAGAGAGCCACTGTTTACTTCTGTCAGGCTGTTATACTCCAGGTGGCTGTGGAAACAAAACCCACAAGGAATTGACAGGTAAGCAGCACTGGTCAAATACTGAAGAATTTCCAACAAGGACTGGAATTTTAGCTATTCCCACACACCCTTCTACAAACCCATGTGGATATGTGCATGTGTGGGCACTTCTTGTGCAAGTGAAGAACAGAAATTCAAGGAAAACACAAAGAAAATGCCCAGAATGAGCTCGGACTGCAGAGGTATGCTCCACTGCAAGTAAACACTGCTTAAAGCACCCCATTCAAGTTTGTATTTGCAGAGTCTCAGTTGTGTGACAGAGGCATCCAGAAACATGCTGCCTTGATCACTTGTGACCACACAAACACACTTGAAAGCCACTCATGTTGGAAGCTTCAAGCATTTCTCTGCAATGACTATTCAATTTGTTCTCTCATATGGAAAGAACACACCACTGAGATAGGCCAGCTTGGTTTGTCGGTATCCCAAGAGGCAGAATAATCAGGTCTGCAACACAGAGTTTCCATGTACCACTCACTCCAAACAAATCTGCAGAACTTTTATTTGAAGATCAGGTGAGATCCTCGTGGATGTTCAAATCAAAGAAATACTGTCACAGCTTGAAATACGGGACTTTTTATTGAACACCTGGTAAAGCAACGAGCTTTAGTAAACTGGGGGCCAACGAAACAGAACCTGCTGTCACAGCTCTGTTCATGCAGGACACAGAAAGAAGCACAAACACTGGCACAAGTGTTCTCTGATAAGAGGAGGACATGATAGGAGATGAAGCCCAGGCTGTTTAAGGGAAAAAAGCCCATCTCCCCAACTTACAGAACTTGCATCTTGGCTAGACCCCAGAAAGCCCCATCAGTCAATTTGCTAATGTTGTTGCGCTGGAGCTTCAGGACTTCCAAGCTGTCCAGTCCCTGGAACGTCAGGCCTTCGATCAGGCGGATGCGATTCCGGTTCAGCTCCCTAAAATCACCAAGGCCATACAAGTTTATTAAATCCCAGTCCTTTCTCACGAAAGCATCTGTGCAGCACACAATGGGGACAGCAATGCCAACAGCTCCTCTGTCAGCAGTTCCCAGGAGACAGCAGAAGCACACAGGAAACTTTCAATCCCAGAGCGAGGCAGAGAAGTCAGCTGGGTGCGATCCCTTAAACAAACTCACCCTCAGACAGACTTACACTATAGAGAAACAACAGTGCAGCAATTCCTCTTTATGCCTCCTCTCTCTGCATTTCTTCTAAGCCATTTATCCTTTTCATCAACATTCACACTTCATCTTCTCTCAGGCAAAGACACCATTTGAACCGCACAGTTAAACATCAGCATTATTTCCCTTACAACACATGGGACTTGTAATTGCCCAGTAAAAATGTGCTCTGAAACAAGCGGGTGCTGTAAGAACTGTGAGCCCAAGAGGAAATGTTATGGCTATGTTTGAAAGGAAAGCTTTCAGTTCCCCTGAAAGATTTCACATTTTTCCTATTATAAGAAACTAATAAAGAGGGAAACAAGTTGTTTCCAATAACAAGGCAGTCTTAGTATTTTGTGTAGACAAAGACCTCCAACTTGGTTCATTAAATTCCATTTCTTTCCTCTCTGGGTGAGGAGGGGGTCCTAAATTTTGGGAATACCTTTTTTCTGAATAGCAGGATGAACATCTTCACAGCACCTTTACCAACTGTATCAAAGAATCTTACGGATTGCTAGACCCAGGCACACCAGGTGAAAACCCAGATCCCTAAATTCAGTGGAAAACTTAACACAGTGCACTAAAAGCTGCAGACAGAGCTTTAAAAACAGACACCTTTCTGCACATACAAGACTGACCTAAGGGTAATTCCCTTTTCAGTGTTTGTGTAGAAGAAAATGGTGGTGGTTACAATAGCAGAACTTGGAAAAGATGAGGAAGCTGTAGAAACTTTAAGCTTGCTTTGTAACTGCCTAAAAAAACAACTGAACTTGCACTAGAGTGTAATTAAAGTCAAGTAAGTGATTCAAACCTTGCAGGCCTAAAGACTCTTGCCTTACTGCACTTCCTAGGCTATAGCAAACTATGCTTTGCCAGGAAACATGAATTCTACAACACACCAAGTCTGTGTAACTTGCATTTCATTCGTGTTTCAGGGTTAAACAACAAGCTGTGAGGCTGTCTTTAAGAACACCAATTACTCCAACTTCCAGTGAAAACTGTGATCCTAAACAGACTGAATTGACTCTCTTTTTTATTAGTTTTGCACATGATGCAGGCAAACACAGTGGATTACAAGCTCTCAGGCAATGGACAGTAACTTCCAACTGAGAGGCAACAGACTCAAGATGCATATGCTGTTGTGTCAGTGTGCAGTCCCAAACTGGCTATAAATCCTACATGTATGCAAGCATAAATGCACACCCATTCCTTAGGCATGCCTTGACTTAAGGATTTGTCTCTCAATCAAGAGGTTGCCATTTAGAGGTGTGAGTTCCAGCAGCTTTTGTGGACTTTGTTAACGGACAGAGGTTGACCTTTTGCCTATCAAATTTGAAGGATAAACTGCAACATGCCTCAGGCTGGGCCCACTTCTCCAATAGGAGCAGAAGGGAAAAGCTAAACCCATTAGTGGTACTATTTTACACATAAAGCATATTTATAGCTGCAGCTGTCTATGCATCCCCATGCAGCTCCTGCCATATGGACTGCAGGCAGGACAACGATGAGTGTGTTAACTCATCTAGAGTGCTATTTTCTCTGCCCAAATACCACAGTTTAACAACCTTCCATCAGTGAATTTTTACCACCACTTAAAGATATGTGTGGTCTTAAACTAACACAGTAGCTGAGCTCTGTCACTCACAATACAAACATCTTCCAAACCTCTCCTGTGCCACAGACACCAGCAGCTTTCAAGGGAATGGGTCTGTCTTACACTGTCAAGTGCACAAGACACTTGATGTCTGCTGCAGCATCCCTCCTTTCATACCTGATCAGAAGAACGGGCTGAAAAGCCACTATTTACAAGACAAAAACGACCCTCTCCTAACATGTTTTACTAGGTGCTGGCAGAGAACTACTGCATAGTGTATTCTAAGTTTTATAGATAGCAGGTGAGGAAGAGTGACATTTGGTGTGTATATCCCCAGGGATATTCTGTCTCCATAAAACGTGGTTGAGCTTAATTAAAGTGGACATTTCTACTCACAGTTGTATTAGCCTGGGTAGCCTGAACGCCTTGACAGGAAGCTGAGTGATCCTGTTTTTACTCAGACGAAGTGTTAGCAGGGACCGTGACAGACTATCAAAAGCACCAGGCTCCAGGGTGCTGATTCTGTTGCTCCCCAGGTACCTGCAATAAATCACAGCAGAGAAATGAACAGTTCAGTCAGAAATCTCCTTTTATCAGCATTTAGTTGGTCTCCAGACAGGCCAGTGAAATCACAGAGGTGGCTTCAAATCACTTGGATTTCTGGCTGCACAAAGAGCACAGTGCCCTTCCCATGTGACAAACATAGAGAAGTGCTGTGCATTTCCCAAAAGCTCCTTGATACCCTCCTGCTTTAGCAAGGCAATGGGGAGTGGAAGCCAGAAACTGGAGAATATTCCAGTGCAGGACAGCTCTATTCATTCCTCATTCTTCCCTCAGCATCTGCCCCAGGGCTCTTTCTTACCTGGACCCTAGCCTTAGCCACAGAGGCTGTTTTTACAGGACAACAGGAAAACGTCAGTCACACCACCATTCTCTTATATCCTTTTACAACTAGGGACAGAAACTTAGGTGCAAACTTTAACACAAGCAGATCATCTGTCTGCACTTCTTCGAAGGTACCTAAACCAGATTGTTTTATGTTTCCCTAAATACAGAGGCTGTTACTCTGCTTAAGCCCCAGTTTTCTTCAAAAAACCAATGAGAGAGTGATTTTTGGTTTTAACATTCAGTAATCACTTTAATGATGAAATAGTCATTATTTCCCTTCCCTCCTCCAGATGCACAGAGGCTGATCTGGGAAACAGGACAGAATCATAGAATGGTTTGGGTTGGAAAAGACCTTTAGCCTTTTCCAATCTAGTCCATCTACTTCCAACCCCCCTGCCATGGGAAGGGACACCTCACACTAGACCATATACACTTCCCACTGGGGAAGAGACACATCTAGGCTGCGGACAGTTCTTCTGGCTTCTAGTTGTGAAGACACCCACACCTGAAGCATACAGGGTACCTCTTCTCTGTTGCAACATTCCCATGCAACATTATGAACAATAATCTGCATTCTTGATAGATACATCAGAATCCAAAAAGACAAGTGCTCAGAAAACAACCTGACAGTAAGGACAAAGTGCTGCCTTCTAGTTCTCCTTTGCACTTAAAAACCTGAGGAACAACCCCATACATTGTATGTTTGTTCCCTCTCTTTTTAAAGAAGGTTTGAGGCCCTTTCCTCAACAAAAGCTGTTCCCAACAAGGAAAACTCACAGCTCCTTTATGTGAAGTCCCTGTGGAAAGCAGCCGTTTCGGATTTCTGTGATGTCATTGAAACTCAGGTCCAACGTTTCCAGGGAAACGTAGGGCTTCAGCTGACTTCCTTCAATGCTGCGGATCCTGTTGTGATGCCTGAAACAGTCCAGAGGAGAAACGAGACAATTTAGTTCCCTTGGAGGAACAGAAAGAATACCCAAGGCTGCAGCAGGCCCAGGGGCTGGCCCCTGAGTCCATACAGTCAAGAGTTATGGTGCTTCTTCAATAGCTGCCCAAGGAGAAACCCGCTCCAGAGAGATCTTCACAATCCCTATGCTTCTCCTATGCCAAGAGAGACTAGCTCATGGATATCTGCAAGCCTCCAGACACTTCTGTTATAGCACAAGACATTTCTCTTCTACAGAACTACTGACTCCACCAGTTTTTCTACCAGACTCCCACAAGCCTGAACTTCCAGAATAGATTTGTTACAGCAGGGCTGGATTTTAATCCCACAGGCAAGGAAGTGCTCATCAATGGTTTAAGCAACCTGACAACGTTTTACACAGAGAATGGGATTTTCCAAGCAGGAAACAGATGAGTAAATATGATCTCAGTAAGTCACAAACTATTGTTTCCTTAATTCCTATGGATCATACTGAAAACTCCCAGCTTTGGACTATGTTACAAGGGTTTGTAACGCACAGAAACACTCCAAGAGGGCTTGCAAATGATCTTGCAAACGTTTCCTCATCTTTGCTACCATAGGAAAACTCCACAGTGCCAATGCTGTGCCCAAGCATCTAGCTCAGACCCTCAACCACCCGTGTTTGCTGCCTTACCAGCCCCAGCCTGAAGGATTCAACCTAAAGGTTTTCTTTAGAGAAGACATCACAAGCTGCCCTCATGGGTTCTGCAGCCATCAAACAGCTAAATACCTCTAGACCTCATCTCTACTCAACAAGGTCTAACTAAGAAAACCCTGAGTCCTTTCCTCTGACTCTTTTCTGGCCTGAATCAGTTGAGAGAATAGCAATGCATTAGAAAAATACATTGTGCATTAGTCACAAGGAGTAGAGCACATGCCTGATGTGAATCTAGACCAGGCACTGATATTACCGGCAAGGCTGTGAGTGAGGCACTCCAAAGAAAGATGCTCACCAGACACTTGAGAACTTGCTGAATAATAACAGATAGTAGAGACAGTTCAGACATGCACTGTGCCTTAATCTGGCTGGCCACCTCCTGAGTAGCCAGAAGAGGAGACAGCAGCCAGTGAAAGCTTACTCTTGAATGCAAACTGGGATGTCCCAGCTCTCATGACAAAGCTCTCTGAAACTGATGGATGAGCTGTCCACAGCCTTAAGGCACTGAAGCTGATGTCTTCTGCAGTCTCACCCCCATTTCAAGCTCTCACAGAGGTTCGGACAAGCCCCTTGCAAAGAAAACTTCTCCCCTCAAAATACCAAACAGTACATGGCGAGGGACCTGCTCCCCACGCTGTGATCTGCTCCTCTACCCTCCCCGTAATTAAAAACAGGCTGTTTCACCATCACATTTGCTGGTGTCTGTAACAGGAAAAGGGTAAGAACTGCATCCCCAGAACAATTTGCTTTCTGGAGACTCACACCCTTTAAATAGCCAGCTTATCCTGGGGAAACACTGCTCTGGCTAAAGAGTTTAAATGCTACTTCATTAATTCATCATAGGCTCACAAAACATTAAGGACAAATTTTACACTACTATAGCAATCAGCTGCTGATATAATACAAAAGGGTATCAAGAAAATCAAAGGGAAGTCATAACTTACGTCCCCAAACTAGTTATCCCATGGGTTACAGGCAACAGGTCTCTACAACCACAAACTGTATAAAAGGCAATGATATGGCTACCATCCAAATGACCAATATTCATTTACAGCTAAGAATAAAGACTGAATTGTCACATTCATGCACATAATAAGACAGAGGTCCAGTGAATTTAACTGTCACTTAACTCTTACTTTTACTTCAATTTAACTCTTACTTTAATTTTACTTTTACAAGTAAAATACAGGGAAATTCACCCAGAATTTTGTGACCTCCATAAACTCAACACATGGACAAGGGGGATTTCCTTTCCCAAGGACTAGTTTCTTTTGCAATGACCAGCAAGTTCAGAAGTTATTTTTTTTCCTTCTCAAAAGAAGAGAGTCCAATAAACACGTTGAGCTACTTTCCTGACTCAGGAAAGTAGCTCAACATGGACGTAAGTGAAAACAAACCCCGAGCATGATTTCTGGAGCTCTCCTGAAGCAGGGGCTGTGAGTTCAACTCTGATCTCATCTCAGCTGTGAGGGCTGAGATAAATCTGGCTGTAAATTAACAGGAAATGAAGTTTTTTACACATGAACATGGAGAATCTACAGATTACCTGACAATGCCTGCACAGGGCAGCAAAGTCTGCAAGGGACTGAGAGCACAGTGTGTTTGGACATGAAGTGCTCTTCAGAAGCCAATGTTATTTTTTAGAGTATTAATATTTCTGTGTATATCCAATCTGCCAGATCTCCCTGCTGTCCCAGAAAACAGCCTTTAAGAAGGGAAGGACAGGAAAGAACTCTTTTGTTTGAGCTACATTCACAGTTTCCAGGTGATTTCTGTCCATTTGCCTTGATTTTCATGTTACAGCTGGCAGATTAGACGGATGCATTATTTCACACAGGAAAAAACCAGGCTCCTTTCTCTCCCTCTCTCTGTCTCCTTCAAACATGGGCCGACTCCAAATGGAACTCTCAGCTCCAAACACCATCCCCAGCCAGTCCCAGCTGGGGAATGTCAGACAGTTCGCTGCAAAGCACTGCACCCTCTCAAAGCACTGCACTTCAAACAAAACCAGCCTGGCTGACTTTTCCTGTACACAGCATGGGGTATGAATACAACATCATCCAAACCTTCTACTAGCTTGATTACATTTTATTTTTCATTCTTTTCAGTAAGAGCTGAAATGTGATTTAACCCTTCCTGTTATTACTTGGATCCCTTCAGCTCGCCTTTGTCCCCCGTCTCATCGCAAGGGTGTTTTACAGAAAAGACCAGTGACGTTCTGACTTTGCCTCTCCCTTTCAGCAATGACTGGAAAAGGACTAGATTTTTCCCAACCAGCTCCTTAGTTTACACTTTGTTGGCTTCAAAGGTGGCAGATCAGATTGTAGGACCAATTGCTGAAACCAAGCTTTAAAGCACCAATTATTGGTGCTTCCACAACCAATTTGCCTTCAGGTTGTCTCTTCCTCTCCCCTCTCCTCAGGTATCACAGCCTGGAAACAGCTTTCCCCATCTCACTTAAACCAGTGTTACCTCAAGAGTATATGATGACAGGGCTTCAATGCAAGATTGTGCAATTAGAGCCTGGAGCAGGAGCCAAGTCTCTTGGTTTCTATTCCCAGCTCTGGCACTGACTCATCTGCCTTGGGCAAGTTTCTTAACCCCTCTCTACCTCTAGTTTACCAGCTGTGGACGGGAATGCACTGTGGGACTAGGAAGATGCAGGACTGCCTTCACTGAGGACTAAGAATTTGGAGTGAAAACAGTCCAAGTGACAAAGAAACCACAGAAACTAAGCAGCTCACCCAAGTCCATTTGGGTTTGCTCATGAATATAGGAGGATCTGGCTACAACAGTTGAACTCCACAGTTCATACCCAACCTCATTCCCAGAGCCACCTCATACCATAACATCTTAGAGACAAACTAAGAGCACAGCCTCTCAGCACCACTCTTGAGCAGACCCCTCAGGATTACAGGAGATTGGGATTAACCTCAACCAGCTCCACGAGGACCACATCAGGAAGCTCTGCCACGAGACAGAAAAACAAGCAGAACGTTCCAGTGAAGCCAAAGCGTGTTTGGGTTTGCTCTGAGTCGGGAGGGAGCCGAACAGGGTGGCAGGAAAACAACAGGTGGCACAAAGTCAAAAGCTTGCAGCATTTCCAGGAATCTCGGCTTGTATTTTAGAGGTAAAGTTACACTTTAATCCCCGTGGGTTTCCCCATTCGAAGAGTCTTTGTGAATATTTGTTTGATAAACAGGCTGTGAAACATTTTCCACTAGACCTAATAGGAGAAGAATTCACCTTCCTCTTTGCAGCAAAAGCCTGTCCTTTGGAGAGCACTAATCAGTTTATTCAGACCGTGGCTTCAAACTACTCATGTGAAATCTCTGCAGAGAGCAGCGCGAACACGCTCCTTTGTTGTTCGAGCCACATTCGCTTCCCTTCAGCAGCTGCCCCTGCGAAAGCTGACAGCGGAAAATCAAAGCAAGCAGACCCCCAGATGGGAATGTACGAGGGGCTTTGGTTGGGCTGATTTAAATACAGTCAGCACAAAACCTCCTGGTTTACACAAAGCTTGAATTAAGGCTGCCTTGACTGCGGGAGTCTGCAGCGCAAGTGTTTGGTGTGAAGTGAGGGTAAAGGCAGGGAGAAGTCACATGCTTGGCCTTCATGTCGTGTCAACTTACAGATCTGGCTGGGCTCACACAAGAAAGAAAGAGGCGAGCTGTAATACAGCAAACCTATTAAACCAACACCTGTTAGAGGCATCAGGAATAAAATCAAGCTTCAAAAGAGAGGTTCCGCACCTCGGGTAGGGTTCTATCCGTATGCCAGCACATTTTCAGCATTAGCATACAAGGGAGATCACAAGACTAGAAACAGAGAGATTAAAAAGTTCAGGGTTTGGTTAATATTTCCATACGGGGAAAGTATCAGAGAAACTAAACGCTGGAGCCAGAGAGAGTTATGGGGTTTGCTGCTGAAGGAGACGCAAGGTTTGGTGCCAGATGCAGGCCATGCAAAGGGAGGGAGATCAAAGGCACTGTAACAGGAGATGGATCACATACACTGTGACTAACCCATGCCTGGAATTACCTGCCCTCCTCCTTCACCTTCTCAGTTCAGAGAAGATGGGGATCTAATATTGATCCTCCTAGAAACACTAAAGAAGATTCAAGGCGCGGGTTCCTGAACTCTCACCTTAGATGATCTGCCAGCTGATTTCAGCCCATCACTCACTACATACACACAGAAATGATAAGAGACCAGTTTGAACAGAAAGCAACACCTGAGCATTTTTCCTGACAAGGAGGAAGGGGAACTGACAACCTGGAAGACGCGTTT